GCTAGGCTGGTCTCGAACTCCTAGCCTCAGGTGATCCACCCACCTTGGCCTCCCAAAGTGCTGGGATTACAGGCATGAGCCACTGCACACCTGGCCAACTTGTACTTTTTATATTCATCTTCATAAGGCCAATGGAGAAAAACAAGATATCTGTCAAAACATATAGGAGCATTCCATATAAATCCAAGTAACTATTTTAAAATCTGATTATTAGATAGAAAAGGTAAAAAGCACTATTCCTTGAGTTGTTGCCTAAATTTTTTTATGCTACATGTTTAGAGAAATTGCTTGTTTTCCTACCTCTGTTTAACTGAAGCAGCTGTGTTCTTCAAAAGCTAACATTATTTATTCTAAAACTTAGATTTAATGTAGATTGGGGAGCTAACTACACAGAACAGCTTCAAATTAATACACTTAATAAGATAGTCTTCCCTATGCCTTGAGTTAAATCAATCAAGCTAATTGTCTACACTGAATCCATGATTGCCCATATTCTTTCCAATGGAATGAATTTGTTTTCACTGAAAAGATTAGCTTTATTGCCTTCTGTAAAGCTCCTTGTATCTTCAGCTAGCTTATCTATTCCATTAGGCATTGACTTGCCTCACTGAGCTGAGACCCTCTGCCAACAGAAATTGGCCCTTAACAGAAGAGATAACTGCTGTAAGCACAAAACCTCTACAAACAGAAGGACAATAAATGTTCAAACTGGAGGCAAATAATTTGGGAAGCTGTTGAGTTCCTAAGATGCATATATCTTTATTATAGATTTCCTCTCCCAATTCTTAGAGCTTGCACACATTTTAAAACCCCAACAGACTGGGCGCGGTGGCTCACGCCTGTAATCCCAGCAGTTTGGGAGGCTGAGGCAGGCGGATCACTAGGTCAAGAGATTAAGGCCAGCCTGGCCAACATGGTGAAACCCCGTCTCTACCAAAAATACAAAAATTAGCTGGGCGTGGTGGCACACGCCTGTAGTCCCAGCTACCCAGGAGACTGAGGCAGGAGAATCACCTGAACACAGGAGGTAGAGGTTGCAGTGAGCTGAGATTGCGCCACTGCAGTCCAGCCTGGCGACAGAGAGAGACTCCATCTCAAAAGCAGCAGCAACAACAACAATAACAACAACAACAAACACACAAAAAAATCCCAATAATAAAGTTGTCATAATTAAATCGTTTGTATACAACCTAATGGCTTCAAATTTTACCACAATAGACCCTGTGCGGAGGAATTAAAAGTTACATCTTCAAATTTACTCCCATCTTCATTAATAAGAATTGCATGAATATTTTTCTCAGTTCCTAGAGACCATATATCACTATTACAAAACCTGGCCCCTGAAGAAAGCATAGCTCTTGATCTGTCTTTTGAAATATTTCTGAGTTGGCCACTATCCATTCAAATGCCTTAGGAAAATCAATTTACAATTGAGAACAATGTGCTAGTGGTTTCAATGTCTTCAACAGTGTGCATGTATTGATGCTCAATCATCTAATAAAGGGTCTTTAACATGTCATTTTGATAATTTCAAACAAGCCCTAAAATACTTTTCCTTCAGTCATTCTATAAGATCTCCAGTTTTACATGTATGGAAGAAACCTCTCCTCACTCCCTGTATCTGAGATCATACACTGTAAGGAGACTTTTAAGGAGATAGTGCTGAAGAGTTGAATGATAGGTTTTTCCTACACAGACAGTTCTATTGCAATGTGCTATTATTTCCCAATTCATTTTACTCTTTAATTTAAGTGAATTTATACCATCTATCACAAAATAGAAGGCAAATATCTTTCATCTGGTTCTTATCTTGGTGAGGAAATACTTCCTATTTCTGCAAAAAGTCACCTCATAACTCCACTGTTGTGGATTTTTTCCAAAGTCATCATTGCTGAACTAGGATAATCGTGTAGCAGGTATAACACTTGCCTGATGAAAAAACAGATTTGCTTCAAATGACACTGTGATTTTGAAGTTATTTTTGTTCTTTCAGTAATTTTTGTGTCATATGTATTTACTAGCCCTTAACCACCATAATCTCTAGGGAAGTTTTAGTTCAGCTCAAAACTATAAGATATTTTGTGTCAATTTTATGAATTACCAAATATAGTAGAAGTCAATTTAAATAAGACATAAAAATACTCAAAACCAGATATGATAAAGAATCAGAAAAAGAAAACAGACATCTTCATGTTTTTTGGATTGATTGAATCTTAGAAGTTCCTGCAAAGCTGAGGCTAAAACCATTCTTTGTGCCTATCTTAAGGAGTCCTTCGAAGAAAAACATATAAAATTTCGATGTCAACTTAAAATAATAATTTTCTCTTCTAACTACTTTTTTAGTTTCAAAAAAATATCTTGGAGATAATTTGTATTTCCTTGTGATTCTAAGAGGAAACAAATTATTTTAAGTACCAATGCTTTCCAGAATATAAGTAAGTAAACCCCATATCTAGTTAAGGAGAGTAACAGGACATGGGAATATTTATTTTAAAAGAACTGATTTTAAATGTATGTAATAGTTACTCTATTTTAGAGGAGAGCTTGTCCAAGGCTAAAATGCAGAACTTTCCAAATGGTACTAAATTGATTTTATTCACCTTATGCTTTTAAATTATTTATGTATAAATATAAAGATGATGCAACATTTGAATATTTCCAAAAAGCTCAAAATATTTCCTTCTCTTGGATGTGCAAAACGCTGGTGAATGCAAGAATAGTTTGAGTTTTTTAGGAATTATAGGCTTATAATTCTACTTTTTGCTTAAAAATGTTTCTTGTAGCTTCTAGTTTTCATAGCATCTGTCTATGAAAAAGTATCTTTCTACGACTATTATTACAGAATGTTATCTTTGTTCTGAAAAGGCATATTGACCTCTCCCGTCCTGCCCCATTGGTTGATTTTTCTTAACTCTTTGGGCTTTCCTGAACAGAGCCATAGTGAGACAGCACAGAAGTTTGTTGCTAAATGAAAGAGCAACACTGAATTTTTGCTTTATTGCTGAGTAGGAGTGCCTGATAGCTTTACATTTTGGCAAGATCTTTTGTCTAAACTTGCCTGAAAATAGATTTTCTTTGGCATGAAGGAGGGATACCAGAAAGCAGTGGCACAAAACACAAGAGACAAGAAAAAGAGTAGCAGAAAAAAATATTGACGTTAAAAAGAAAAGACTTTCTTGGAATATTGAAAGGGCATTATAAGTTTGTTTATGTACAAAGTTACTGTTTTTATCTTTCTTTCAAAAAAGGATGTTGTTTTATATCTCTTCAATGACAAAAGTTAAACTATCCTGAATAGATCAATATTATGAGATAAACATTAAATAATATTTGTATTATTTCCTTCCAGGCTAATTGCTTTGTCCAAACATATAGCGTATAAGCAAGGTTCACGTCAAGACAGAACTCAAAGTACCCTGGTTTGAAAAGATATGAATGTTTGCTCTGGGGAGCTGAAGAGTTAGTAAGTAAGCTTTACTAATAGCTCTTTTTAATACAATTAATCTTGAGTAGAAGTTCAAAGTCTACAATTTTATTCATCAGAACCATATGTCTTTTATTATCAACACGAATACCTGCCCTTTGCAACATTTAGGCAATAGTAACCAGAATTGAAACTCCGTGAAACATCCTTATTTTGGAGTAAACATGAGGGAATGGTAGAAAATGTCATAGGAAATCCTTGGGAAATAAAGAAGGAGATAAAATTGGAATCAGTAAAAGATAGCCAAATGAGCTCATGGTCAGAATCTAATATAGAAAACTCAATTTTATGTCAGAAATATAACTTTAATCTCAAGTTAAAAAACATAAAGCAATAGAGATACATTCAGAAAAAAAATGTTAGTCAATCAACTAAAAGTTGGTAAAATTTTTTACCCAAGAATAAACAGAAGGAATGGGCACGTTATGTGATTTTCATTATATTTCAGATGCTATCTTCCTAAAGTCCAAACTCTTAGCAATAAATTGCAACCAGTAGCTCTTTAACACATCTGCTTCCCTTTTAAGAACTGTTAGCTTTCAACATGAAGAAGGCAAGGTAATAATTATTTCTGGCAGCAAATATGTGTTCATGCAATTCTTACCTGCCCCCCTTTAGGCTGGTATTTGATGTTGTCCGTTGATCCGATTTTGGATTTGACATTCTTCAGGTCTGGCAGTGGTTGGTTTATAAGCCGAAGCTGTTTGGGAGTCGCAGGAGATTTTGGAGGAGTACGTATGATGGCGACCTTCTTCTCACTCGGCACCAAGATGGCAGACTTGGGCGTTCCTGGTGTGTGAGGGGTCCTGGGATAGCTAGGGGTTCCAGGAGTGCCTGGTGTGCGTGAAGAATAACTTGGTGGGGTGCCAGGAGTGATGGCAGTAGACCCAGGAGTAGTGGGTGTTGAGGTACCACTTTTTCCTGCTCTGCGAATTGGCTCTGACCCTGTATTAACAAGCAAGACCAAAACCAAACCAGAGTCAGACAATTCTCCTCAAAACATCCCTCTTCCCATAGATTGTTAGAGGTCATAATATGTTTCATTTCTAAGGTATTTAGAAACAATTATTGTAATGATCACTAGAGTGCTCAAGAAGCTGAGAGTCTCGTTTCTGAAATCAGGTGCATAACTCAGTGGCATTCTTTTGAACACACATTGCCATCAACACAAAGAAAAAAACCTGATTTTTTTCTGATTTGTTCTCCTTAATTTTCATTATAAATGTGTCAAAAACTATTTTCTACTTGTGTGACTATTAAGGCATATGGATCTGCCTTTAGTTGGAAAAGAATTTACTCTTAGTGTCGTATGCAGACCCATATTTACTGAAGATTCCTTGAATGATATGTAGATCATTCATTCCTCTATGTAGTAAATTGATTCTGGGATCCAGGTGAACATACAATATAGAACCACGTATTTAGGACACATAGTTTCGGTCCGTATAGAAAGGTCTGCATTTCAATATTCTATCCTTATATTGAGGAACACTATGAGGTATATAAATGTGTTTATGGAAGCTGTCAGACATTGCTCTACTATATCATGTATTCTTTTCATAAGGAAAATCATCTCAGTGCTTCAAACAAACAAACAAACAAAAAGTCTATTTCTTGCCTTAGACACTTGGGATGTCCCAGTATATTCCCATCGAGCCTCGTACCTGACTGTGTTTTCTCCTCTGTTTTCATCACTAGTTTGGCAGTTTGGTGTTAAATCCAAGACCCCGTTAATTATACAGGACCTGAGATGCATTTCTTTGCCTCAAATTGAGCTCAGCCTCCTATTATTATTTTACCCACCTCCCATTTTCCTACACTATGTTTCTTTCATCTTTTGAATGTGCTTTGAATGACATTTCAAATACCTTTCTGAAAGAATGATAGAAATAAGAATGCAACACCTTATAAATTTCAAAGCACTTATGTGAATATCAACCAACTGATAACCAAACACGCACAATACGGTTCTTAGGGGCAGCTCTTATTATTCCTAAGAAATGAGAATATTGAGGCTCATTCACCCAGATGCTACTAACGTCTAAGCCAGATACAATATTTAGCCCCTGAGGATTTACATTTCTAAGCATGCAAATTTCATTTATAACATATTTTATAGAAAAGGGATAATTTTCATTTTTTTTACTGCTGATTAAGTAAAAAAATCAATGAATCTTCTGAAATTTTGTAGAGAATAAATACATAACAATTTTAAAGCCACTGAAGTGAAAGGAATCTTAGAGGTCACCTAATGCAATTGCTCATAAATATAGGAAGTTCTTTCTGAGAAGTGGACAGGTAATCTTTGCCTAAATATTTATAAGATGTGAGCTCAGGAGAGCTTTTTAGACAATTGTGATCTACGGAAAATGTAAATCTACCCATTGCTATAGGTTCTATCTCCTGGAGAAACACAGAACAATTGTACTTCTTTCAGTGAACAGTTTTCACATATCAAATGAAAGTGCCCTGTGTCATCTTGATTTTCTAACACAGGGCACAAGATAGTTAGACTCTTCAACTGATAATATGAAATGGGATATGAGAAGTCTAAAGTGAGAAATTAGCATGTGTTCTGTGATTTTTATTGCTTTTCACAAGAATTTCAAGACTAGGATGATACAACCACATCCAACTTGGAATTTTGTAACTTCCATGTCCTGGTTTGTTATGGACTAAGTTTTCAATGTAGATGTCTGTCTCTAAGTCTGTCTGAATACTTTCACCAGAAACATTATTTCTTTCTCAAATATTTTCTCTATTACTTCACCAGTTTTGAATAGCTCAGATTTTCTGGGGAGAGGGATCGTCCCTGTATTTTTTGCCATTGTATCTAGCCCTGGTGACTTTCATGTGAGCTGAATACAGTAGGTAGGCAACATTTTTAAAAAAATAAAATGTATTGAATACAGAATTCATCAAAGTGTGCTGAGGGGTTTTTTGACTTCATGGAGACTGAACTGAAGCAATATTCTGGATGTGAATAACAATTTTTACTGTATGAAATAATTTTTTCTAAACTTCTGAGGAGTCATTTCCATACTTGTAGAAAACACTTTAAGCTTCATAAAAGGAGATTTTGTGTTACATCTGGAGAAAGAGGATAAACTACAAATATTAAGGCCTTCACACTGCTGTTCAATATATATGATCAATTTTTATTGTAATAAATTTGTTCTTATCATCAAAACAATAAATTTGAATGTTTCCTATTTGTTCTGAACTTGAAGAGGTTAAATCTAAGATCTGAAACAACTTTTAAGATATTTATTTACAAGTTACTTGATTAAACTGTGCTCTTATTTATCTTGTCAACTCCTCAGTGACAATGGATTTCCTTCCTCTTGGGCGGATGAGCTTCCTGAACAACATTGTTTCCTTCAAATCTTTTCAATAGCTGCACAAAATGTTAGAACATTCCTGTGTACCACTAAGGGGGTGGTAGGCACGTAGAAGTGGGCAGAGTGCTTGCTCTTCCAATCATCTTTATGCCTTTCAGCTATTGGTATATAGAGGTAAGACAGACCCTATGTTTTAAAATGATCAACGTGTCAGTTATGTTCACTATCAAATAATACAATGCAAAATGCTTGTAAACATCAGTAAATTTAAAAAGTCAAAATAGAATTGGTGCTGAACATTTAATGAATCAATTCATATACAGATACACTTTAAAAGGCAGAACACAGTGGTTTGAAGAAGTAGATTTATGGAGAAAGTGCCATTTTGCTTTTATAGCAACAAATACAAGCATAATTCAAGATGTTCTTTTGGAGAGTACTTGGTATCTTTGTCTTGTCTCACCATCCTTGGGGTTATTAATGATGTTCAAATTCAACTCTAGATATTTAAAGTCTCTTCCCTGGAAAGTACTAAATCTTAAATGCCCTCCCTGCTAATTCATTTAAATAATTTATTTTTGCTATGGTAAAATAATTTTTGTGATTTCAGTGTTCTTAGCACATATTTCAAAGGATGCTAATACTCTAGGAAACTAAATAATGTTGGACACAATTACTCTTATTACAGTAAACACTTTTCTAGTAGGCCAAAACACTGTTTAAATGCCAATAGTCATATTTAAGTGGGTCAATTATTATTAAAATAAGTGTTGAAGCCAACTATAATGTGATAGTGGTAGCAATTTCCACCATTTTAAAATGGTTTTTAAATGACACAGACACTCTCCTCCAAATAATTCTACAGAGCAGTTGTCTAGTACTATTTCTTCCAAATCAATATAGAAAAGACATTAAGACTTCAGGCTGTGAAGTTATCAGCAGAGTGAAAACCAAATTCAACCACTTACTAGCTGTGAAGCACTGGACAAGTTACCCTCTGTAGAGGGTCAGTTTTCTCATCAGTAGATTGAATTGAGTTTATTAATACCTACTCATTGGTTTTGCTAATTAAATTTAGTGACAATGTATCTTAAGAGTTTAGTATCTATATGTGCTCAATAACTGGTAGCTATTTTGGTTGCAACAGAAAAATACTTATGGAAGTAATTTGAATCTATGCTTTACTAGATAGTTTGCCACAATGCAACATATAAATGTGTAATGATTGGAGCATTATATAAACTGTTATAATTGCCAATCAGTTCATGAATGGGCCATCAATCAAGACAATTTGAAACTATTGCATAGACTATACTATATTTATATCTCATTTGGAATGCAAATTTTTAACGAGTTGAACAGGATCCTAAGTTTTGATTGTTGACTTTCTAGTTCGATTTTACGACTTGGAAATCTAATAAGTGTTAAGCTTTTATATATGTATGTTTTTAAAAATCCTTGACTTGGTTTCTACATTGATCACTTCTTTAGAGTTTTCGTTTTTGAGCTACATTTGAAGCAAAAAGGAAAATATATTCTTAGAGAAATAAGTTTATCTCAGTCTTAGATAATAGGGTAATATGTTACCATTTCCTCTATCAATTGTTTTTACTCAAACAGCTATTTTGCGGCCATCTACATTCTGGATTTTCTGATTCTTAGGGCAAATATGATCTAGTCTTAATGCATGTTTTATTTTTACAAATTAAAATATAAATATAAGTGCTATTCCACTTAAAGGATTTAAAAAGTGCTTAAAAAGGAAGTCAAATCAAAATAAACCTACTGGTGGTCCGCCGTGCTGAAGAAGAGATAGAACTGTTGAGAGAGAAGGAGTTCTCATCTCTGTCTCCTGATACACCTCGGCGAGGAGGAAGAATGGAGGAAGGTCTTGGGAGAGAAGAGCGCTTTTCTGGGCTCTTGGTTACTCCATCCTGATTGGAGAAAACAAAAAGGACATTGGGTTCTTGTAAGTCTTTAATTTATACGAAGTGATACTGATTTTGCTATTTTCCTCCTGTGCTGATAGATGAATTTCTTTTAATACAAACTACTGGATTTCATATATTTATAAGCATTTCTACTTTAGAACTTAGAAAGAGTGTATATTTGCCTAGATGTTTTATAAAAATACATTATTTGAAGTTCTGATAACTGAGTTCAAGTTCTAAATGATAATTGGGTAAAATAAATGTACTCAAGCAATCTTCAGCAAATTACTAATTTTATTGAAAAATCTTCATTAGCATGATAATTTATTAATCAGAAAGGACTGAGAGTAGCTCACTGCATGCATAATATTTCTAACAATGACCACTACCATATATTGTGCATGTATGTGACAGGAACTCTTTATAGTTTACATTCTTTTATGATTTGTTTCTCACCACAGAACATGATACATGATAAAGCTGAAGAAACAGGTTTAATGAATTTATGTAATTGTTTCAAGACAATTGAGTTGGTAGATGTCAAGAGATAGTATTAAACCCTGATGTATATGATGTTAAGTTTCAATTGTCTATTATATTCTATACAATATAATTTGTTATTATTGTACTGTGCAATATTATTTCTTATATATTATATATAATATATTTTGTAAGTTTGCATTTGATATTTTACCAGATAATCAAACCATCAATTAATAATGGGAAACATATCCAGAAAAAGACATTTTCTACATTTAAAAAATAGGTATACTATTTATCAAAATTTTAAATTTGTATCTGTTTTTAAAAGGGCCTACTGTTTATGTGTCAAATACTTAAGAACGTAAAGTATTTGCTTTCATACACTTCCTGAATTAGGTTCTATAACATAATCTCCCAAATTCTATTTCTTTCTGCACCTTTTATTGACCTGCTGCCTTACCTTGTTCCCTGATTTTGAGTATGGCAAACGGTCTGTGGAGCCTGCTGAGGTGGGCTGCATTAATAAACTGTCAGAAAAGGTAGCCCTTTTAGTCGTGCTAGGGCAGGCTGAGCTGTATCTTGGGGACTTTGTGCTACCCTGTAAAGCAGGAATCTTTGACAAGGTAGAATTCTAGCCATGAAAGAAAACAAACAAAAGCACAAAATAAACCAAACTATGAAGTAAAAGGAAAATAAAAAAAGAAGTATAAACGTATAAGAAACTCAAAGTCTTTTTAATAAGAACACATGATAAATGGTTATAATCAATGATAGAGATGTGTACTTAGATGAGATTTTCATTGAACAGCTCTCTTTAGCCAAAACTAACTTAATAATAGTCATAGAAAAATATCTGTTATAAGAAAACCAAATATCACATGTTCTCATTTATAAGTGGGAGCTAAACACTGGGTACACACGGACATAAAGATGGCAACAATAGACACTGGGGACTCCAAAAGTGGGGGAAGGATTGAAAAACTTCCTATTGGGAACTATGTTCACTATTTGGGTGATGGAATCAATATAAGCCCAAACCTCAGCATCACGTAATATACCCTTGTAACAAGCCTGCACATGGACACCCTGATTAAAAATAAAATAAAAAATCTGTTATGTAAATAAGACACATAAATAATGCTAAACCATTTTATTTTCTAGTAACCAGGTCTAGAACAGTTATCCATGTTTATTATTTATTATTTGCTCCTCTTTACTTCCAAATGTGATTGTTTATGTTTGGTACATAGTAGAGACCCAGTGGATAATTGTTGAATAAATGATGAATGGGTGGATGGATAGATAGAAGGACAGAAGAAAGAATAATGTTGCTTAGATATGAAGGAATTAGCTTTGTGAAATCCTGAGACCAAAGTAAGTCTCTCTTTTTTAAAAAATAGAATAAGCCTTAATATAGAAAGAATGTTACAAGTGACTAGCAAAACTCTCTTTTTGCTGGTTTAAAAAATAATGCTGAGTGCTTAAATTTTGTTTTTTAAAAAATGATTCTATACATAGTTCTCTCATTTAAGGATAATGTAGATAAAATATTCTTTTTGGATTCTATGTATATAGTCTCTAATTAATTCATAGGTTTTATAATGATAACAGATTTGGAAATATCTTTCAATATCCTAACTGCTGGAATTATTCCTTTAATAAATACAGCCTTCAAGGTGTACATATAATCCATATATTAATCATGTTTCAAGAACTTTAAAACAAGGTATATTTGAGGCCTAATGAAAAAAAGCATTTTTAAAGATTGAAAAAACTTATTTTCAGGTAATCTACACTGACTTCAACAGAAAATTTTCAGAGTTTATATATAATTGGTTCATTTTATAACTAAAACACATACTGTGAACTAAGTTATACCATAGAACTAAAAACATTTTTATGCAAAGACTATAGTCTGCATGATGTGTTATGAATTCTAAAAAGGAAAGTCAGGACTGAAAAGATTGCCAATAAAAATCATGACTTAATTTACAGGTGTTGATAACCCCTGGGGAGACTGGCTGCAAGTATAATTGGGAAGGATGTATGACTTTTGGAGAAAGCTATGCCAGCATGCCATAGATCTCATGGGTGACTGTTAAAAATATAGATAAGTATGACAAAGCCAAGGAGATTATTATCTTCAAATAATTAATTTGATCTGTTACAGAAATGACAGATAAAACTGAGATTTTTATCTCAAGTTTTAACCTCTGGAGCTACAACAGAGACATAAGTATTTACAGACTATAAAAATCACTTCTTGTTTTATAGACCCAGTATCTTGAGTGGGAAGTGTAACTGGGTCAGCACAAGTCATTCTTTTTTGATTGATGCTACCCACAAAAGAGTGAATTTCAAAAGTGTGATATAGAAGAGAAAAATAAATTGGATTGCTTGTAGTTAAGAAAGACAACTATTAAGGCTAAACAAACAACAGAAAACCCCAAGTGAAATGCAGGATTATGGGTGGGTCTGGTTCCTAATAAAGAGCAATTTAAAAAATCATCACAGGAATCCCATAAATATATACACCTAATACGTACCCATAGAAAAAACATTTTTAAGTTAAAAAAAGTGAATCTAAAAGAGCATACAACTACAAAAAACAATCAGAGAACTGTTCTGATGGATAGACTGAATATTAGAGCTAAATCAAATAAAAGTTACTTGGGGTTTTAGAAAACTTATAGGACAAGGATATCATATTAGGAAGGAAAAAAAGCTAATAAATGAGAAAAAAAGAAAGAATGAAGGCCTAATTTTTCTTCAGAAAGACAAGATTGGCATTTACAAGGAAAAAAGTTTGTTTTGTGTCAGATGATGCCTATGGTTCTGTTCCAAGTGCTGATTCTATCGAGTTACTCAAAGACCAAGGGGCTTAAAAATTTCCTAAAAATGTTCCAAATTATGTCAACCTAAAGGAGGAAAGGTCAGACTTATTTTTTATATCTGCTCCTGAAAACTTCCACCATTCAGTTAATTAAAATAATAGCTAACAACTATTACCATTTATTAAATGAATGCTATGTTCTAAGCATTATACTGCATACTGTTTTATAACATTATTACACTTAATTTTTATAACTAACTCATGATACAGGAATTTTGTCCTCCCCTTTATTTTTAGAAAATTATGAAATAGGAAGAAAAGGATCATATAACTAAAAGATGTTCAAGATTTGAACATGGTCTGCTCCATAGCCCTATGGCTAACCACCATAAATCATTAATTAGGAAACAGAAGGTAAAGAGATACAAATCTTGAAATCACAATGTGTTTATAATAAAGCCTAATATTTACCAAAGCAATAAATGAACTTTGTTTCTTGCCATATGTTCAGGAATATATCTGATACATTTGTATAAAAATCAAGTATCATCTTTTATCAACGTAAAACCCCTCAGGTTCAAAATCAAAGATTTGGCTGCCACAGGAAATGAATCACTACTTTTCATAATAAATAAAAGTGGAAGTCTAAAATCTTACTGGTTTTTAGAAGGGTAAACTAAGAATTGTGATTTACATATTATATATGTTTGCTCAGTCTCAGAACGTTGTTAAAAGCTACTAATTAATATCATTCACATTATTTGTTATAATTTTAGGATTTCATTAGTAGCCTTTTAATTTTTTTCTTTCAATCATAAAGGAGTGAAAATACTTCATGTTGGCTTTGGTCATTAAAATATAGTTAATAATATAAAAATAAAATTCACAGAAAAAAACAGAAAAGATTTATAAATATATGAAGAAGTTAACACCATTAATACAACCAAAATAAATCTTTAAAATAATAACATATGCCATCTCCATAATTTGGCAAATATAGAGCAATATAAAATACGTGGTAATAATAATGAATATGAACACTCTTCTTATACAGAATGTATAAGTGGGTAGAACCTTTCCAGAGGGCAATTTGACAATATGTAGCAAAAACTTTAAATATAAACATTTTTCTTTAATTTCACTAGTAGAAAATTATCTGAAGGAAATGGCACACAAACGCATTTATGAACTGAACTTAGCCAAAAAGTTCTCTACAGTAATATTGTTAAAACAACAACAAAAATTCTAAAAGTCAAATAATAGGAAATTAAGTATATCATCGCAAATAAATAAAATGCAGTATTATGTAGTCATTAAAACTTACAAAATGTTCAACGACATGGAAGTACATTTACTGTTGAATTTAAAAATTGATACACAGTGTTCTCATTTTTGTTGTTAAGCCTATAAATTTATAGAAAAAAATTAAGATTTTACACCAAAATGATAACTGTGTTTATCTTTATGATAAGGGGATTATAATTGATTTATACTTCCTTCTGCTTGTGTACAATGCTTCATTTGGTCATATTTTTATTTTGCAACAAAAACAATGAAAGTGTATTATAAAATATAGTCACTGTTGGTTATATGGTTTAATTTGATTCTATGAAAAGTAAATAAATTGGACTTCCTTACTTTTGCCATATCATTGTCCTGCTTTCTATGTTTCTGTCTTACTAGTAAGGAAGCAGTCCAGCTGTGTCCTCACCAATTACCATTATATGCCATGCCAGAAGACGTTAATCCTTCCATGCCTGGATGCCACGGAGAATCTTCTGGGTGAGTGAACTATTTAAAATGACTTTTAAGAGTAAATATCTAAACAATATCAAAAGTTATTCCGATGTTGCAGCTAATACCAAAGGAACTTCAAATGAAGAACAAGGAAAACTTTTTTTACTCACAGAGACTTTGTCCTTTGCCTGTTTAAATACACTGGGAGCCAGAGCTGATTCCCCACCTGCTGCTGTTGAAAATAAAAGACAAACAACCCCAAATTTAGTCTCTAAAAACTCATAAATGCAGTTTTAAATACCTTTAGGATATTCTGTTGTGTCAACAGACTAATGCAAAGCAAAAGTTTGCTTATTCTGAGACTCAAATTCAATAACTCAAGTAACCTGAATAGCAATAACATAGCATGTGGCTCCAACTATACTGTGTGCTAATTAATATAACCCATTGTCTACCAAAGCACAGATAAGCACACCAAATAATTTTTCTATTGATTACCAATGTATCTTTGAGTCACTAGTATGTAAGGATAGATCCTTTAGAACAGAAGTTACAGAATAGCAATGTGAATGTTACAAAGTTTAAGAGAAAGAACATTGACTGGTTTCTGGGGTTCACATGATATACAGAAGGGGGCTCATAGAGATTTCCAAACCCTCTTCTTGCTCTGGAAGCCACTGGCATACCTATAGATATTTCGGTATTTTACATTTCAAACTGTCATGATGTCATGATCAGCCAACCCCTTTCCCTTTGCATCCCTTCATTTCACAAAATGAATGACATACTTGTTTGATGTGAAAATGCCACATGAGAAGGGAAGAAAAATAGCTTGTCAAGAACAGAAAACACAAGAGAAAATTTAAGTTCAGTAAATAGAGAACATGTTCTACACATGCACTTCCTGTATGAAATTATTACCACATCTGTTACTGTTGTTTCTCTTGCTGCTGTTTTATGCTTCTGGTTTCAATTTTAAACTCCATTATCTCTAGCACATTTTGGTTGATGACTTACCTGAGGTGGCTTAGCTCTCATGATTTAAAACAATCCTTTGTGGTTTGGAAAACCATCTATGTTTGAAAATTGGGCTTAGAAGATAAAATAATCAAGCTTGTGTGTTTATTCCTCCTTAATTTTCATTCATAAAACAGAAACCCTCAGAAAAAAAATATGTATCCTTATAAGCCCTCTGAATAAGTTCCAAAAAGGTATTTTATGACATGTACAGTTCTGACACAAAAATAATAACTATCCTCAATATGCTTTATGCCATGTAGGACTAGCTAGTGAGATTTTTCAGATTCTAGGACTTATCGTTTTTAAGGAAGCAGTAAAAATGATGCCTTCCTACTACCTCTGTAACATAACTCAAACTCTTGAGACACGTACACCTTGCTTCAAACCAATGACACCTATATCTGATACATGCATTCTCCTAAAGTATCTTAACATTAGACCAGAATAAAGGAAAATCTTAATTAGTTCAAAGATTTTAAATTTCTTTCAAAGAATGAATAAAAACACCATTTACTTTAAATGTAGTAAATTGCATATCAATGACATGTAAACACTTTACTAAACCATTTTACATTTTCTCTAAAATTCCACAATCCTGATGACATCTTTCATCCTCTTCAGGTAGGTTATAGAGTTTTTATGCTAAATCAAGAGATTCTGCTTGCCCAAGCAATTTTGCTATTAAGTTAAATGAAGCTATTAATTTGCTATTGAGTTTAATGAAGTTCTAAGTTTAATGAAGCTAAAAACCTGAGAAAATGAACTGAGGTGTGTCATGTTAATTCCTAACTCCTAACTTCAGAGATATTCTTCATCCTGAAGCTTTATCAAGGTTTGCATATATACAAGCCTTCCATTTTCCAATTCTGCCTTAGATTCTTGTTTTTGAAGGAAAGCACATGATATGATTTCTAGATGAAGAACACAAATACAAAATACTTGGAATTTTCAACAACTAAAATAAAACCATCAATTACCTTGATTTTCTCTTTCTCACAAAGGCTAATGTTCCTTTTAACCTTTAAAACCATCCGAAGATTTATATAGAGGCATTGATGATGAACAATGGAAAGAAAAACATTCTTTTCTGATTTAGCGATCTGTCATTTTGTAGGCTACAAGCATGCCACTTAATAAACTCTAAAATAAAATATACTGTAAGATTATCCTAGTATAATTAAACATATAAAATAAATACTTTGCACTGAAATTTAGAAAAAAGTTGGCATTACATATATTTCTAGGGGTTTTTATGATGGTTTCCAACATGTTTTATTTCTTTGTTTTATCAGTTTTATAAACTTAGGAAAAAATATGTATTTGAAGAAGAGAAGTGAGTAGACAGCAGGCTGGGCGCGGTGGCTCACGCCTGTAATCCCAGCACTTTGGGAGGCCTAGACAGGTGGATCATGAGGTCAGGAGTTCAAGACCAGCCTGGCCAAGATGGTGAAACCCCAACTCTACTAAAAATATATATACATATATAAATTAGCTGGGTGCACACCTGTAATCCCAGCTACTCAGGAGGTTGAGGCAGAAGAACTGCTTGAACCCAGGAGGCGGAGGTTTCAGTGAACCGAGGTCGCGCCACTGCACTCCAGATTGGGTGACAGAGCGAGACTCTGTCTC